TGTGTGAGAGAGAGAGAGAGACAGACAGACAGACAGACAGACAGACAGACAGACAGACAGAGAGACAGAGAGACAGAGAGATAGAGATTTTGTGCGCTCACGCTGGTGTTAATTGTTTGTGTATCTTTTCTCTGTGTGCTATGTACTTGTGATAGCACTGAGACGATTTCTGATCCTACTAGATCTAGATCTAGAACTAGATCTAGATCTACATGTTTCTATGTCGGCTAATCATCGTTCGGGTCTCATCGAGACTCTCAGACATAACAGATAGATATCTATACCCTATTGTGTACATGAAGTACTATATAAATGTAGATCTAGTAAGCCTACTTGATATAGAGCGGCCATCCTTTGGGCCAGCTTTCTATTTTTAGCTGGCTTGGCCTGTTATTTTCCTCCCCAAATTTCCCTTCCTCCATCCATACCCATCTCCCCCACTTGTGCTGGCTGAAGCGACCTCGTTTGGCGCGTTGAGCGTTCGCTAGACCCTGGAGTCGAGAGTTGGTGGAGGCTTCGTTGTCGCACAGTGCGTAAGCCTAGTCGCGCTGCTAAAACTAGTGAACACCCCTTGGTGGTAAATTTCGTCTGGATTATTTGCCGTTATTTCTAAGAAATAATTATCAGAACTATTATTTTAAAGTGCAGCTTCTCTTCACTTTGAAAGGTAAGTTTGGGGTAGTATTCTTGGATAACGTTTAAATGCAGTACGGTACTGATAAAAGTGGTGTTAAAAAAGCACTTTATTACGCGAGAAAAATAAATACCATGATCTAAAAAGCTCAATTTTGAATGGGGAAGAGAAATGAGAATGAATGAATGGAAAGTAACAGAAATGCTTCAGTATTAAAAAGAAAAGTCATACCAGAAACCTTTTTTATATAGCCGTACCCATCTTTCTTTCCTGTCTTTGAGTCTCTCTCTCTCTCTCTCTCTCTCTCTCTGTCTCTCTCTCTCTCTCTCTCTCTCTCTCTCTCTCTCTCTCAATCTCTGAGTAAAAGGGAAATTATAGATACACAACATGGTTGGTGGGTGATTGGCAGGTGCTATGGTGTGGTTTGCTTCTTCTTTCCCATAAAAAATCTATCATCTCTACCTCCCTCCTGCTTTTTTGTGTTTTTAACTCTCTTGTAACACCTCTAATCTTCGGCACTTATATGACATTATTGTGTTGCAAGTGCTGTAAAACTGTAACTAAAACATAAAACAACATGGTTGTCTGAGCATTTGTGGTATTTTCCAAACAACTTGTTAGTCACGTCTTTAATTTTGCTTTTGTTGGATTTTTTCGGTTTTCCCCTTGCTATTGCTATTTTATTCTCACACACGCACACACGCACGCACGCACGCACACACACACACA